CTTCCTTCCTTCCTTCCTTCCTTCCTTCCTTGCCAGTGGCTTCTCAGGGTAAGAGAGAAAATAGCCAACTGCTAACCCTTTCCTTTCCAATGAATAGTTTTCTGATTCTAAGAATTCCACTGAAAGCGGTGCAGTGATTATCTTCCTATGCCCCCAAAGCCTTTCACCTCAAATTAACTCAGCTCCTGTCTAAGGAGATGCAGCACAATTGACAGCTTCTCCTTAACCAGGCTCTGTGTCTTTGGCTTCCAGACCTGTTTCTCTGCTGTAGGGTTTTACATATCTCACCACTAACTATATTTCCACCACTAAGTTGACATTTTGTTATTTTTTCACATAGTTCTTAATTTGTTTAAAAAAGAATTTGTCTTTCAAATAGCTCTTAATAGTAATGTTTTGTTCCATAGACTATAAACAGTGTTAGTACACTTAGCCCAAGTTCTATTCAAATGTTATTGAAAGCCCAACACATGCCTGCTAGAGAATGGAAAAGACATAGTCCCTGCTCTCAAGGAATTCACAGTTCTTGGGGAAATAAAAACATAATGGAGCCACTCTGCCTTTGGTATCTAAGTAAAAATGGCTTGTGCTCTCAAAGAGAATGTAAAGACAATTCTCTTTCTAAGGTATTCTGAAACCAATTTAAAATAAACATTGTTCTTAATATACCAATAAATGCATCGTAACATTCTCATACAGAATGCATTTGCTACTGTAATATAAGCAGAAGGAGGAAGTACATAATAAATTCTAATTGAGGATGTGAAAAAAGACTCAAGGAGGAGACAACGGTTAAACTGGGTCAGATGAATGATTAGGGATTTATCAAGTGGGGGGGAAGTATTCCAAGACTGGAGGTTCGGAAAAGCAAAGAATGTTTAGAGACCTCTCGATGGTTTGCTGTGACTAAAGCATTCAGTGAAAGAGGAGAGGGAAAAGTGGCAAAGATGGTTTAATAAACAAAAGACAGATTTCCGCCCTCAGCATTTTCAAAACATAAAAACAAGTCTGGAAAAATTCTAAACAATCTAGGAGTATCACAGCCAGGCCAGGACTGGGATGAGGCAAGCGAAGTTCCTGTCTTCGGTGCAAAATTTAAGGGGGTGCCAACAAAACTCAGTCATCAAGATGAATAATATTTTAATTAAAAAATTTGACAAAAGATAAGATCAGTGTTACTGAATTTTCCTTTTGCCTCAGGCCCCAATATGGCTCAGCAAGACATGATTTAAAATTTCAGCATTTGTTCATCGTGATTTTTTGGCACTGGTTTTGCTTTTTTAAAAAAATTACATTACAGTATTATTTATCTTGATGAATGTGTTTTTGGGGGCACTTCATTAAAATTTTGGCATGAGATGAGCACTTTACTCACCTCGCGGTAGTCCCAAGCCTGATTCCAGCCAAACTGTATCTGCTAGCATGTGCGAAAGACACAGCATGCCACTCTGGCATTAAAGCACAAGTTAGAAAAGATTCATAGCACTTAGTGGCTAATGGGATATGGAGATAACAGGAAGAGAGGAATTAAGAATTTTGTCTTAGAAAACAGTATGGAGGTTCCTCATGAAATTAAAAATAGAACTACCATATGATCCAGCAATCCCTCTTCTGAGTATTTATCAAAAAAAAAGAAAAAGAAAGAAAACAGGTATCTTGAAGAGATATTTGTATATCCTTGTTTATGGCAGCATGATTTACAATAGCTAAGAGGTGGAAACAATGGATGAATGATAAACAATCACAGTGTGTACATACAATGGAAAAGTTATTCCTTGAAAAGAAATGCAATCCTGTCACATGCTACAACACAGGTGAACTTTGAGGACATTATGCTACATGAAATAAGCAGGCCGCAAAAGGAAAAATACTGTATGATTTTACTTATACAAGGAATCTAAAGTATTCAAATTCATAGCCATAGAAGGTAGAATGGTGGTTACCAGAGACGAGTAGAGGGTGGAACGGACAATTGTTTACTAGGTACAGAGTTTCAGTTTTGCAAGATGAAAAAGTTCTGGAGATTTGTTTACACAATGTGAATAATGTAACTACTGAACTGAACACTAATTAACTGTTAAAAATGGGAGAAGGGACAAGTCTTTCTTACAGAAGAATTCTAATTTTAAGACATAGAAGAGATGGAAAAAATAGAAAATCACAATTATAGGAAAGATACACCAACGGACGCTAAAATCAGCGGGTGAAAGCGTGAGGAAAACCAGTACATTAGCATAGTCGCAAAGCATCTCCTCCTATATATTGGGTAACTTTACAGTAGGAAAATTCAGCAGACATCTCCTTAATCAAGCATGAGTCTGACGATCGTAAGCCATCGTGTGCCCCTGAGAGAATGCACTGAAAAAGAGACATCACTTCTAGGATGTCTCCCTCAATGCGTATAACCTCAAACTAACCACAGTGAGCATCAGACAAATCCAGCACGAGAGCCATTTTGACCACTACTCTTCAAAAGCAAAGGTCATGAGAGATAAAGAAAAGCTATGGAATGATCACAGACTAGAGGAAAATAAGGAGACATGACAACTAAATGCAGTGTGGGATCCTGGATTGGATCCTGAGACGGAAAAAGGACATTAGGGAGGAAACGAGTGGAACTCGAATACTGCGTAGAATTTAATTAGGAGCATTATAGCAATGCCAATTTCCTGATTCTTATAATGATATTATGGTTACGTAAATTGTTAATATTTGGGAAAACGGGTTAGATGCTATATGTACACTCTGCACTGTTTTTGCAACTTATCTGTATGTCTAGAATTATTTCAGAAAGGTTTCTAAATTCTTATGAACATAACTTTATTGGAAGAACCCCCCCCCACAATACATTTCATTTTTTAATGAATTAACTCCAAATGCTCTTCTGATATTTTGCTAAAATGCATGTTTCTCAGTGTACAGTTATAATTGGTGTTTCTATACTGGTGCTCTCTGTTGTTTCTCCCTTGAATAAATGTCACTCATTCATTGAATAATTTGACAACATAGTGGTATTTTGTTACTATGAGTGGCCCCGTGCTGGGCACTGAGAACATGAAGATGCATAGCCTTTGGTCTCTGCTCTTGAAAAATGTACATGGTAGTGAGGATAATAAACATGAAAAGAGAAGGAATCAGTATGATACGATAGACTTCATTATGTAGATAAGCAAAGGGCTCTGAGATATAGAGAAGCTATTGTCTTTCCTTTTTTAAAAGAGAATTCAGAGTTTAACATGTTGACTTATCTGTATAATTATGTGTAAAGAATATTCCACTGTCCTCAGTGTAATACACTGCAGTTGGCAGTGATGTTCCGGGCTTTTCCCACTCGTGAGGGAAGAGGTCATTTCTACAAGTCGTCCTTGGAGTCAGCAGGCAAGAGCAGGTAGAAAGACTTTCCTCTGCAGAGGGAAGCGGGCTCCCCACCTCCAGCTCTGCACTTGCAGATGTGCCTTTGCTGCTCAGAGTCCATGAATCGCACTTTAAATCGATTCTTCTGAAATGAGACTTATGAGATGGCCAAAGCCGAGCTTAACGAAGGAAGAGGTCAATCAGATTCTCATCAAAGAGTTCAATTAATCTGTCTCATTTCTGAGTTACAGTCTCCCCTGAGCCTCCTCTTAGAGGCTTCAACCATCACGCCCATTTT